CCACCCCCCATAGGACAAAGACGTGGCCATCCGCTTCCGTAAAGCTTCGGAAACCCTACGGGCAGTTGGGCCCTGTCCCCAAGGCGGCTCTAGAAGGAACGGGCTCAGCGGCACACAACAACCGCGCTACCCTCTGTTGATGACACCCCCGATCTTGTCCAGGGAATGGACACTGCCTTGTATGTAGGCCATGCTAGGCAACTTGGGCGCCCCACGCGGCCACCTAAGCATCCCTTCTTTGCAGCTGGAAGGGGGCCCTGGACTTGCTAGTGAGGCCCCTCCGCCAGTTCTCAAACTTAGCCACACATTGGAGTGTTGGAACCCCCTGCCCTGGCTCTCCCCCAGACCAGGGCTCAGCAAGTGCACACATACATGCAGCGCTGACGTAAGATGTAAAGGATAGTATTCAGTGATTCGTTGGTGAAAGTATAATGTGTGGTTCTCGAATAACTTTTTAATTGTCTGCCGACCCCTGACCCAGACCAGTGGCATCCGCTCCTGTTACAGACACGGGGTGTCCGAACAACTCCACCATGGGAAGCAGGGCAGTGAGCCCCGAGGGCAGGGCTTGCTGGCCGCCAACCTTGGAAGGTGGTTCATCCCATCCTGGGGCAGATCTCACACCAGCTTGTGTGTGGGCAGCAGCCACCCAGACCTGGGTGCTGGCATTCCAGGCCCCCCACAGGCTCCAGGCCTCCCAGACAGGCTCCTCCCAGGCGTCCCGGACAGAGTTGAGGGCAAGGCTTCTTTCCGTCTTCGGCTGCGTCAGCCCTGGAAGGCGAGGCTGCCTGTGGCCGCTTACATCACTTCCCCAGGTTTGTGGTGGGAGAGAGAGAGAATCTATGGGTCTATCTGCTGATCAAAAGCGGAACAGGAAGGAGGAAAAGCATTAGGCAAAGGCAACCATGACGCACGCCTGCAGTGTCCAAAACCGGGCCCAGAAGGTGGCCTTTTGCAGCCTCAGGTCGGCTGTCTGGTCCAGACCTCCAGGAGCTTCTGGAATTGCCTTTCCTCGCTTAACTCTCTTTCTGTAGGCAAACTTAGATGAGTGCGAGCTCCAGACTTGGGTGGACTTGGCCCCAGTCCCCCCACCTGGCTACTCTCAGTGATGGGACCGAGGGTGTGTGTCTTAACCTCTGAGCCTCCGCGTTCTAGTCTGTGCTGACTGAGGGCGGTCCTGTGTAGGGTTTCCCGGACCGTGAATCTCTCTGTACAGGAGCAGACAGCCCCATCTCTCTCCCTCGGAGGCACTGCTGGGTTTGAGGCACGAGCCCTGTGATTAGCAGCCTACCATGTGAACGTGCCCAGCCCAGAGCGGTTGTTATCGGGCCGGAGGGAAGAATGCAGAGAGGGAGGGCTCTATGGGGAGGGAGGCCCTGTGCTGCTGGAGATGGAGAGAGAGGGCAGGTTGTTGTCCACGGGCCTGGACCAGGTATCTCTGTGAGACGCAACGTGTGGGGAGGAAGTGATGGTGTGTTGTTTGATGTGACGTGTTCGCCCCACCTGCTGGCTGATGGGCAGAAGTCGGGGCTGGCCCTACTCTGGGTATTCTCTCGTGTTCAGATTGACATGACACTGTCTCAACTCCGCCACCAAGCCCAGACACCTCGGTGGGCGCGTCTGAGAGGCGGGGCAGAGAGCAAGCCCCAGCCCTCCTCTTGCTGTCTGCGTACGTGGGCTGCACAAGTGTCACAGCCTCCCTGGCCTCGGTGTCCCCTTTTGCCAAAGGAGAATCCTGATCTGCCCCGAGTCAGCTAGATTTCCCATGATCAGGCCCAAGCTGGGTGGGTCTTGACAGCAGGACCGCCCAGGAGTCTCCTTTTGTTTTTCACATGCTAACTGTGGGAGGGGCTTTAAGGCAAGTTCTGAACACCATCTCTCCACCAGTTGCCTCACTGTGGGGTGGGGTCACAGACTCTCTGGAAGAGATGTTGTTGAAGATTCAGTGAGATCACGACGCCAGGCACCTTTCAGAAACAGAAACACTCACTGTGACTATGGAGCTGATTCCTCGTGACCCTGTAGCACAGGATAGAACTGCCCCTGAGGGTTTCCCAGAGGGTAAACTCTGTAGGGAGTGGAAAGTCTCATCTTTCTGCCATAGTGTGGCTGGTGGTTTTGAACTGCTGACCTTGCAGTTAGTAACCCAGCACTTGACCCACCGTGAGGAGCCGTGAGTGTTCCTCAGCTCCCTCTGATGCTAAGTGAGTGCTGGCTGCTGCGTGGCCAATGACCCCAGTGACCCCAGTGACCAATGACCCCAGTGACCAGTGACCCCAGTTCCATGGAGGCACTTCTGACTCGGGGTGACCCACGTGTTGGAATTCCACAGGGGGTTTTCACTGCTAGATGGAACCTAGCCACCAAGCTTTAGGTTAGCAGCCCGCTGTCACCCAGGAACCGTCCATGCCCCCAGAGAGGCGGTTTATCTCTTGATAACTGTTGAGGACTCAGCCTGTCATCCCCACAAGTTCACTTACTCATTGATGAGCATGCATCTGTTTCTTTCTATCTGCAAAGAACCCTGGCAGGGATGTGGCACAAATGCCGTCTGTGTGCCCTTGGCCCTCTGTGGCCTGGCTGTTCCCATTCAGTGGGCGCTGGCACCATGTGTCCACACGGAACCCTCCAGCGTCATGGTCAGCCCCTTGAGGAGATGGACCCTGACCCGCATTTCTCTCTCCAGCTGCATCTGGAAGCATCGTTTCCATAGCAACCCACCGAGTTAAGCCAGTATAGCTCTGGCGAGTCTGCAGATTCGGCCTCAGTGTGTGGGAGCCAGGCACTCACTCCGATGCTGGTCCCTGCCACAGCCAGGGAGACTGAGGCACAGTGGGTGATGCTGCACCCCCAAGGGTGGCGGGCCTAAGCCAGAGCACAGGTGGGACTGGACGTGCTCGTTCTCACTCTGAGCCGATGCATTTCGCTGGGTGGGGCCCGTGCTCACTTCTCAGGCAGAGAGGCCTTCTGGAGCTCTGGTGGCTCAGTGGGTTAAACTAACCGAAAGGTCAGTGATTCGAACCCATCAGCTGCTCCGAGGAAGTAGGACAGGAAGCAGTCGGCTTCTGTAAGCACG